GCCCGCGCGAATGCAGAGCCGGCGGGTCGCGCCGTGCGTTCACTCAGCACACCAAGGCGGGCGGACTGCAGCAGTTCCTGAGCTGCACGGGCCAATCCCGCGGCATGCGGATACCCCACGGGTGGGTCCCGAAGAGAGCCCGTTCCGCCGACGTGCGTCGAGTCCGCTCCTGCGGTGCACCCTCCCGTTCCGTGCCCCCCCCTCCCCAGTCCCATCGGGCATTCCGCTTCACTGCGCGCAGCGCCCCTCCCTGAGACACGAGCGCCCAGTGGGCCCGCAGCTCGGGCGTAAGCTCCGTTTGGAAGGCACGTGTCCTCCACCCTGCGGGCCATAAGGAATGCAACGTTCCGTCTGGGGAGGGGTGTGTTCCCCTTCGTGGCTTCTCTCAGGATGGGACGGCGGAAGCAGGCCACCGCGTCGGCCCAGATAGGTCGTCTCGATTCTTGGCAGCCTGGTCCCAGAGGACCCCAAAGACTTCAGAATCCATGTTTCGATGCCACCGTGAGGGTATTCAATGTAATTCGGGTTTGCGCAACGGTTCATTTGTAACGGTTCATTCGTGCAACAGGCGTGGAACCTTGTGTGCGGACGCCATCGGGATCCGCAAGAGGCCGAGCAGATGCCAGCAGAAGTGCCGGGAGCAAGGCCAGGTGGGCGAGCAGGCATCGGGAAGCCGTATGAGGCCAAGCCGCAGGAGGCCATGGGAGGCCATGCGCCCACGGGTAGGCCCAGGACGCAGGAGCAGTGGGGCTTAAGCCATAGGAGGCCAAGGCGCCCCCCGCTCTGACCACGAGACACAGGGCCAGTTCCTTACAGTAGAGGCAAAGGCCCGTCCGTGCAAGTGAGGTCTGGAGAGTCTCATGGCCTTCGGCCCATCACGACGCCGTGCCTGGGCTGTGGGTCAGAGTTCTCAGGGATGCCGCTTCGAGTCTCTTCGGGGCGCTTTCTTTGGGGGCCTCTCGGGGGCAGTTTGGGGGTCTCTTGGGGGCCTCTTGGGGCCCTCTCAAGGCCTCTTGGGAGTCTCTTGGGGCCTCTTGGGGGCCTCTTGAGGGCCTCTTGGGACCTCCTGGGGGCCCCTCGGGGCCGAGGGCTCGAAATGTCCGTTCGGGTTCCACAAGTGGGCCCCCTCTTGGGGCCGCGTGTGCGCCCGCTTGGGCCGTCTTGGGCGCCTCTTGGATCGTCTAGGGGCGCTCTTAGGCCGTCTTGGGGCCCTCTTGGGGGCTTCCTGGGCCGTCTTGATGCGATCCTGGGGGCCTCGGAGGCCGTCCTGGAGCATCGGAAAGCCGAAAAGGCGAGAAGGCCAAAAACCTTCAAACACCAGAGGGGAATCACTGATTGTTGCCTCTTAGGGTTCTCTTGGGACGCCTCTTGGAACGCTCTTGGCCATCTTGGGCGTATTGGGGCACTCTTGGGCCTTCCTGGAGGCATCTGCGGCCCTCCTGGGCGCTTTTTGGGCCAATGTTTGGCTGGCTGCGCTACTGGAGGACGCACGCGACACGGCCGGGGCAATCCCCAGAAATCCTCGCAAATTGCCATGGAAATCCCCGGAAATCCTTGTGAGACCGACTGCCCGGGCCCTATTAAACTTTTTAAATCCATGCAGCTCTGAACTTCTCAGGGCTGCATGAGCCCTGCGGCACTCCTCTGCGTGCTGAAGGCTCGGTGGCGGATAGCATATGATATTCGATGAGTTCGTTTCGTTTTGGAATCCTCGGGGTCAGCTCGCGCCCAGATCTAGGCCTCCGAGATGGGGTCCGAGTAGATGGGGTCAGAGGATCGCGCCGCATCGCCGATGCATCGACGATGCGGCTCGATGTGGAGCCCGTGTTTCCCCACGCCGACGTCACCGATGTATCGCCGACGTCGCCGATGCATCGCCGATGCATCGCCGGTACATCGGCGATGCATCGGCGATGCGGCGCGATCCTTCGCCGGTACATCCGATGCATCTATCCTCGACCCCGCTCCGTCTAGGAGGCCTCTAGAGATGCTCAAGCTTTGCCACCTCGCCCTGGGCACCAGCCTGGAGGAGAGGAGGAGGGAGAGGAGGAGAGGAGGGAGGAGGAGGAGGAGGAGGAGGAGGAGGAGGGAGGGGAGGAGGAGGAGGAGGAGGAGGAGGGAGGAGGAGAATGGAGGAGGAGAGGAGGAGGGGAGGAGTGAGGAGGAGGAGGAGGAAAAGGAAAAGGAGGGGGGAGGAGGAAAAGAGGAGGAGGAGAGGAAGAGGAGGAGGAGAAGAAGAAAGAAGGAGAAGAATAAGGAGGAGGGGAGGGGAAGTAGAGGTAGGAGGAGGAGGAGGAGTGGAGGAGGAGGAAATGGAGGAGGAGGAGGAAGGCAGGAGAGGAGGAGGAGGAGGAGGAGGAGGAGGAGGAGGAGGAGGACGAGGAGGAGAGGGAGAAGGGAGGAGGAGGAGAAGGAAGGAAGGAGGAGGAGGAGGAGGAGGAGGAGGAGGAGGAGGAGGAGGAGGCCTCTACCAGAGTCGCCGCCCCGCTGCCCTCTTCAGGACCCTGGCAGCAGCCAGAGCAGGTGCGTCCCCAAGGCGTGCCCCCTCCGCGGCCAGGCGCCGCAGCCTCGCCCGGAGCTTCTGCAGGCGGTGCCGCGCGCAGCTCTCGCCCAACCTGGCCAGACATATCCCCAGAGATCCAGCGCATTGAAAAAATCAAGACGGAGGTTTTTCGCATTTTTCGGCCTCTAGGGGCCCTCGCCAGGCCCTGGGACCGTCAAACAACGATTCAGAATGAAAAGCCAGTCCTGGGGAAAGGGTCGAGACTTCCGGGGACCCCGCAAATCACGACGTCGGATCTCTGGGTCGGGGGCGGCCAAGAGGGGGGTGATGACTAAGGGGGGGATATCATGGCGTGGGCCATGATACTTCCTCAGATTTCGTGGCGCCTCTCCTTATTTCGGTACGTCCGTCCCTGGGTCCCCCTTGGCCGCGCTCATGCCGCCGTCCATGATTTGCGCCCTCCCCCCTCTTGGACGCCCCCCTCTTGGCCGCCCCCGAACGTAAGTCGGGCATGTCCCTCACCAGACCCCCTCGCGGTGTGAACAAAAGTCACGACGGGAGGTTCTTTGCAGCGTTTTCGGCCTCTGGGAGCCTTTACCGGGCCTGGGGGCCGTCAAAAAGCGACCGAGGGGTCCAGACCTTTGGGGGTCGAGGTTGTGAAAAATCACGACGTCAGGGGTCAGAGTCTACAGGAGGAATCCTCAAAAATAGTCAAACAACAGTCTGGGGACGATTTTTCGAGTATTTTCTGAGTATTCTTTGGATATTTTTGACTCTGTTTCATTTCTCTTCCGAAATCAGCCTGTACGAGGGCATGCCCGACCTAAGGCTGGACTCAAATCGGGCATGTCCCCTTAGAGGAGGAAAATTCCAAAGTAGTCAAAGCAATCGGGGGACGATTTTTGTTTTACTGTTTTCGACTATTTTGGAGTATTTGTTGGCTATGTTTGGTTTTTGTTCCCAATTCCGCCTGCAGGAGGACATGCCCGACCTAAGGCTGGACGTAAGAGTGGCCTTTCGCCGGAGTGGCCTCTCTGGATGCGGGCCCCATTGGGGGCCCCCGATGGCCGAACGCGGTGCGGTGTTAGCGTCTGGCGCGCTCGTGTTCGGCCCCCCCCCTTGCGGAGAAGGACAATTTTTGAGGCACTGGAAAGAACTTTGCGACTCCGCAGTCGGCCAGTCGGCCAGTCGGAGTCGGCCAGGGACGAGGGGGGGAGTCGGATGGGGAGTCCCGGTGCCTCAGAAATTTTCCAAGTGCCCCTGCGGCCCCCAAAAACGCGCTGCGCACCAGAGGTCGCTCGTTGCCCTGGGCCACCCTTGCGTGTCGTCGGTTCACGGCCCCTCGCTTCCCGCATCCTCTCGGGGCTCAAGAGACGGGGGCCAATGCAAACGGGGGTCAGCCAGAGCGCCGGATCTTGCAGCATCCTGCACTGCAGGGCCAGGGTCGCCTTGACCCGGGCTTGGGTGCAGGATCCAGCAGGATCCAGCAGGATCCTTCGTACTGACCTGGGCTTGGGCACAGGATCCTGCAGGATCCTGCAGGATTCTGCAAGACCTGACTGACCCGGTTCTGGATTGACCCGGGCCAGAAGATCCCCGATCCTCATCTCCCGCGGCCTTCTTCGGCTCCCCCCGCCCTCGCCCGCCTCCCCCGTCGGTCTTCGTCTGGGCGGGGCCTCCTCTCCTTCGGGAGATCGCGGCGCTGCCCTCTCTCTCTCTCTTCTGCGGCGGAGGGCGGCGGAGGCCGGCGGGCCTGGAACGGGGGCGGCTCCGCCAGTGGAAGGCCAGAGGATCAAGCAGTGGCGAAGCGTCCTGGCTCGCTTGTAGTTAGGCCCACCAACGAATGTTCTGAGAACCGTTCGTGGTTTGCGCGACATGTTCCTAGAACATTTCTGGCTGGGGCTGTCTTGCTTTAACACATCGGGCTTCTATTATAAGAACATGGCTTGTCTTCTTAGAACATTTTTGGGTTCTAAGAACACGTCGTGGTAGGCCTATAGGAAAGCCGGGACGGTCGGTCCCTGCTCAAGAGGAAGCAAAAGATGTTCATCCCCCCCGGGGAGAAACAAAAACACACAGGCATTATTCACTGCGTGGGGATCCCCATATGTGCATCTCCTTGCTGGCGCTCCCTTGGTGGTGGGACTCGGTGAGGACGAATCTGGATTTAAGTGTGACTGAGCTGCCTCTCTCTCTCTCTCTGCTCTCTCTGTCTCTCTCTGTCTCTCTCTCTCTCTCTGCCCTCTCTCTGTCTCTGCCTCTCTTTCCCTG